GCTTGTTGACAGATTATCACTTCCCCAACTCCCGGTCACCCCAGTGAAGGTGTGGACCGTTGCCCCCTGTGCACTTCTGTCGTTACTTCCCAGAGAGCAAAGCTGATGTTAATGAGGTGATGGCCAGGATGTATTTCCAGGAACATTCAACTCGGCACGATGGCTCAGTGCTCCAAATCCAATGTTGGTGTTAGGTTTGGAGCCATCTTCCCTGATTTTAGCTGCAGTAGGGGAATTTCCATCCTTTGCATCTATTTTTACTGCAGAACTCTCTGCTGTACACCTAGTCCTTAAAGAAATTAGCATAAATAAGGCTGGGAGTTTTAAAATTTTTAGTGTTTCCAGATCATCACTGTCTGCTCTGAAATCTTTAAATCCCATCCACCCTTTCATTTTATATATTTTTAACTGGCTATCGGTCCTCTGTCGGCAGGGCCATAATGTGGATTTATGGTGGGTCCAGCCCATGTGTCTGTACGAGGTAATGAGAGGGCTGACTAGGTGGGCAAGTCTGCTGCCTCTCGTCATGCCTCAATATGCTCCCTCCCTCACATAGATTTCATCCCTGCAATCAGGCCAGCCATCCGGACAGTTTATCCGATCCCAACAAGTTGCGAGAGATTACAGAAAAAGATTATCCGCGGGAATATCCTTGGATGCCCCCTGCTATAGACTGCCCTTACCCGTCTACTTGTTGGATACGCTCGCCTCTCCCATAGTTTCCTTATGGTCAGAGGACCACAGCCCTATTGTGATGACTGCCTGGTTCCATTGACTGTGAGACACTTGCTGGTAGAGTGTCCCAGTCATGAGGGTTTGAGGAGTCATTTTCTAGCCGATTGCCGGCAGGACGATGGTTCCTTCTCCATCACAAAGATGCTCAGCGAGAGAAGTTCAGCAGCCGATGGTGGACTTTTTCAATTTTTAATTGTAATAGAGGTAATGAGCTGCTTATGATTTTAATTAATTACAAAATTTTTCATTATTTTGATATTGATATTTAAACATTATAGGATTTTGTATTCCAGTCTGCCCTTCACATACATGGGTTTAGCATACACGGATTCACAAATACGCGGATTGCCCCGCCGGAGGAATATTCTGTACATTGAAGTAATTGAAGTAAATTCAAATCGCGCCCGCCACCACACACCGCCCGCCACCCCGCGCGGCACCACACACCGCCCGCCACCCCGCGCTCCCTCACTCAAACAGTCTTGCTGTAACCACGCTTGTGTTGACATCAGCATTGTAGGTCGACCCTGATTTTTTGACCAAAAAATCATTAATTTATGATATTCCTTATTTATAGGTGGACCCAAGTTTTTGAGGGTATTGGAACAACGAAACCTTTAGTAAAAACACTCTACGTCCTATAAACTAAGGCTCGCCGTGCCTGAAACACCGAGTGCCATTTATTATTACGACACTTTACACTGAAACTCAGGTAGTTTCAACAAAAATATTGTACATTTCCATTCAAGTATTTATTCAAGTCAATTAGGAGGGAATATTATTGTAATACAACAGTTTTTTAACTGAAAATCATTCGAAAAGCGATTACGGTAACATCTTTTGAACGAAAGAAAGTGAAAGTCATTGCTTTAGTCACGATTTTATCCCACTTTCCACTGTAATACGTACGTCATTTCAGCAAAAATATTTAATTTCCGTGAATGTATTATATCAAGCACAGTATGAATAGAATATCACTAATATAACGGTATTTTAACCGAAAACTATTAAAAAACGAGTAACATACAGTATCTTGAACATCGGAAGGTTAGGTAAAGTCTTTTGTTTTAATGTAGTTTATCCTAATTTACATTGAAATACATTACAGTTCAGCAAAACTACTATTTATTTCTGAGAATATGGAAATGTAATATTTTTGCTGAAATGACGTACGTATTACAGTGGAAAGTGGCATAAAATCGTGACGAAAGCAATGACTTTCGCTTTCTTTCGTTGTTCAAAAGATCTTACCGTGATCGCTTTTCGAATGGTTTTCAGTTAAAAAACTGTTGTATTACAATAATATTCTATCCTAATTCACTTGTGATGCAACAGTTTTTTAACTGAAAACGATTTGAAAAACACGTGTACTGTCTAGCTGATACGGCAGAGCCCTGGTCGCGGAGGCTTTGTTTTTGCATCGGCCCTTAAGCAGCCTTTAATTTTAGCGTACGTTGAAATTGTGTTTACCGGCATATTCTTATTTTCTTGCTTCTTATTTTCCAGAAATATGACAAGCTTGTATATAATACAATGTTACGGTCCTTTTAATTTACAAGTGTTCATTTTTAGAAATACAGAAGACACCAAACAAATACCAGTACGGATATTTGCGTGACTCTCCCGCCAAAAAAGACCAAACAGCTGGTACTCTCTCCCTCAGCCCTACCAAAAATAGCCCAACGACATCTTTCTTGTTTATTATCTTCCAATTTCTCACTTTAACGGGTATTTTTACTTCATATTGCCTACATCAGATAAACTACAGTAATTGAGGTTAGACACTGTTATAAATTTGATAACCGGGTCCTGGCAGGTGCCGTTAGAACCACCTGACCCTACCAACAGTGTTGCAAGGCAGACACAGCATTTTTTTTTTTACATTTTTGGTGTCGCCATTTGTTAATTTTTTTTTCTGTGGGGTTTGCACAATAGTAAACTGTTTTACCTACAGTATTGTAAAACGATTTGGGAAAAGAAATACTCGGTAACTTAAAATTTTAAACGGAAAATCTTGAAACTGGCAACTGTGTGCTGAAGACGATGGCAAGGAAAATTATTTTGATGGATTTTCATGAAAATATTCAGAAATATGGTATCGTAGTATTTATTCAAGTGAATTAGGATAGAATATTATTGTAATACAACAGTTTTTTAACTGAAAACCATTCGAAAAGCGATCACGGTAAGATCTTTTGAACAACGAAAGAAAGCGAAAGTCATTGTTTTCGTCATGATTTTATCCCACTTTCCACTGTAATACGTACGTCATTTCAGCAAAAATATTACATTTCCATATTTATTTCTGAGAATATATTCATTCAGTTACAGTTAAGGTAAAATATACTTGTGATGTAATATTTTAGTGAAAATACCCGGTATTTAGAAGTACGGTATCGTAGTTTTCTTTTGTTTCAAATTTAATTAACAAAGATTGATGTTTCAAATGTAATGAACAAAAATTTATGTACAGTATCTATAAATAAACTTTAAAAAATGAATACAGTGACCACTCGGTTAACGAACTCAATCCGTTCCAGAAGGTCATTCGTTAACCGAAAAGTTCGTTAACCGACACCATTGTTTCGATGGGTTTTTGGGTAATTGGTTCCAGCTCACCGAAAATTTCCTCAATTCAACAAAAATGGTAGAAAAGTTCACTTACTTTGAGGTGTGTATGTAGAAGGCTCCTGGATGATGATGATGATGGAAATTAGAATGGGGGTGGAGGAGAAGGAAGAAGAGAAGGCATTGGGGTGGAAGAGAAGTCACCCCATGGCACCATTTCACCCATAAAATTTTAGTTCTCTTGGTGGATTTCAAGATTATTTTCTTTAAATCAACACTGCACTGCATTATATATTGTCAATATGTAAAATATATTTCAAAATGACCAATACTTTGCTTGGAAACACAGAAAAAAAGCGTTTAGTTGAAGAGAGTCTCAAGCAAGATGTTACCTCCAGTGAAAACAGAGAGACTAACGCCTCTTTGCTGTGTTAAGAGGCTGGATGCCACGCATTAAACTACAGTAGTCACTTTACCTTCAATTATGTTCAATAATTGTTAAAATGACTAAAAAATTTAATATTAAACTTTTAAAATTATTGAATAGTATAAACTTCTTGATATTTACAAAAATAGTAAGGAATTTAAGCCCTAGAACCGATTAATGTATTGGCGGACTGATACTAAAGCTGGTTGCCCGGTCAGTGCAAGCGAAAACATGTTGAGGTCGGTTCGTAAGAAATTCGTTAACCGAATTTTTGTTCGTTAACCGAATTGAAGATCCTTATGGAAGGCAGTTCGTTAACCGAAATTTCGTAAACCGAGGCGTTCGTTAAACGAGGGGTCACTGTACTTTATGTTTTACATCGTCCTGTGCTACCATACCATGCATTTGGCAACTTTGGGCTTGCTATGATGACGCAAGAGATCTGCCCTGGCAACTGTACCGACACTCACAGCTGGTGGTGCGTTGGTGCGTTGGTGCGTCGTTTCCATTGTTTACTGGTAGTTACTGGTAAATATTTTTCAACCTAACAAAACTATTACCCGTTTAGAGGTCGACCCCCAATTTTTTGCCAAATAATTTGGTCTTAAAAACTCGAACTACACACAGGTATATACGGTAAATAAGGACATGGGGGGGCCAGGGTTTTTTTTTGGGGGGGGGGCAGCAAAAAGTACACGGATTTTTAACATTCACAGGTATCTCTGTTACCTAACCCCCGCGTATGTTAAGGGCCGACTGCATTTTATTTTTTATATCATAGTTTTAAATTCTAAGTTTCATATTCGGCATCAAATGGCCACAGGCTGCGAAGCCAGATATTTGACCAAATCAATTAATCAATCAGAGTAAAGGAAAAATGTAAAAAGAAACATGCATGACATTTATTGCACAATAAAATACAAGTTTAAGGGTCATCAGGGGATCTAATGAGTGGTTACTTAGTACACATTAGCCCCTCATAACCCCCAAAACTTGGTAAAAGTTTGGATTATTGACAAATCCAAACCCTCTTACCCCCAAATTGTATGGATTTTCAAGGGTTGACTGTGTTTAAAAATTATCATAAAATTCAAATAAAATTATCATAAATATACAAAGGTACTGAACAATTCTCTTACTGTTGTTAAATTGAAATATTGTAGAGTTAATATTACCTTTAATAGAATGTTATGGTATTTAATATACGTACTGCATATTTCTTGTCAAATAATATCAAAATTCAGATGATAAAACTAAGTTTTACTGACAGGAATTATGATGCTGAATTGTTTGCCTTTGGAAAAAGACTTCATGAGGAATTTGAAGGATCATTGCTGAGAGAGGCCTTGACAGACTCATCTTATATTGCACAAGAGATGAGTCACCAGCAGGCTCTTGGGGTCACTTCTCCTGCTCTAACACTGAAAAGTAACACAGAGCTGGCAGCAGCTGGAGCTACAGTGATAGCAGATTACTGTGCCAAGTATCTCAGGGCAGCTCTTCCTGTTCTGCCCGAGGAGGGTATAAGGTAAGGTAACAAAATTAATAAGGTATGGCTTTTACTCCAAAAGGTCATACGGAACTTGACTAGTGATGCCTTGTAATGGAGTTCTGTACATTGACATCTTATCTATCTCCTGTAGCAATACTCACAACTGAATTATGTACTTAGCATCAATTTTTCATTGGCCTCCAGATTTCCAGTGATCGATTTCTTCATTAATATATGCTTGGGGAACTTATATAGAATCACATAAAATCTTCTTTACAGGTCACAACCCGAGGAGCTTGAAATTTTCTAACACTGTTTACATGAAGGATCCACAGCTTTCTTGAAAACAGTTGATATCTAATTATTTTAATTTCTTGTGCAAATTTTAGTCAGTTACCTTGAACGCCACAATAATAAGTTTAACAGACCACAAATCTGTTTATTTTATACAATTAATATATCTAGCATTCAGTAGCTAATGGGATACCCCATCCTCTTGACACAAGGGTTGTCTCACCATTAACAACCTTATTTATTGCGAAATGCACAAGGGTTGGTGTATAAAGGGGAAACCCAATCCTTCTTTCTAGTGATGACTAAGCTATGGTGCCACACATCCTTCCTGGCTTACTTACATCATAGCTGGAAAAGGCTTGTATGAATGAGCCTTTGCTACATCACATAAAGTAATGTCCTGCTGAAAGAGTATTTGGTTTATGAAAAGTATTTTTTTAGGGTATGAAAATTCAGTGAATGAGCTTCTATTCACTAAAATGTGCAAAAATCCAAATGAACCAGCTCACATTATCTTTCGTCTAGTGGGGCTAGTTATACAGTACATTTATTGAGTGGCCAGCCAGTCTAATGCTCTCATAGATTCATACTCTGATGGTAAAGTCAGTGACAGGCAACGGTGCTATTTGAAGATTAGTAGGGTCATTACCTAGTACCTGACCATTGTGGACCTGGTCTCACCCTCCTCTGTATATATACACCTTGTTTTGTACTTCTCTTTAGTCTGCACTCACCCCTGAAGATGTGAATTACACGAAAGCGCTTGGGAACTTCGTGTTTTCTTCTTTCCTTGTGGTTATCAGCATATATCTAAATCACGCGCACCTACAGTGATTTACTTGTATATATATATATATATATATATATATATATATATATATATATATATATATATATATATATATATATATATATATATATATATATATATATATATATATATATATATATATATATATATATATATATATATATATATATATATATATATATATATATATATATATATATATATATATATATATATATATATATATATATATGTATATATATATATACCGGTCGGAATTTGCTGGACTTTAATTTCTCACTTGACTTGGGGTTTATTAAAATTTAATAGATGGTAAAGGCAGTGGAAGCGCCCCTTTGAGAAAAATCCCGAACCAGCACAAGAACACTTAAATCTACTACACAAAATGAACTGTCCGTGACCCGTGGAAGGATAGCGTCTGTGACTGGGATGAATGAGACACACTGTAATATTTAGACACTTATATTCCCTCCAACACTACAAACACAATCAAATAATGGTACACCAATATGCGCACCTCTTAACTTAAACTTTAAACACTACTCTGGGGAATAAAAGTTATACATGACATAGAAATTATTAGAAACACAGGCAACAATAAATTTGAAGTATTAAGAAATGTTGCTTGCACACATGAACAGGCCTTAAGGCTTTCACAAAATAATATCAGTCACTTAGGAAATGGTACTAAAAAATAAGAAATTAAATGCTCCACAATGAATAGGCCTTAAGGGTTTTCAACAAAATAATATCAGTCACTGAGGAATGGTAATACAAAATAAGAAATTAAATACTCTACAATGAATAGGCCTTAAGGGCTTTCAGCAAAATAATATCAGTCACTGAGGAAATGGTAATAAAATTTAAGAAATTAAATACTCTACAATGAATAGGCCTTAAGGGCACTCAACGAAATTATAGCACCCCAACAGATGTACACTTCCTAACCTAACCTAACCACTACTCTGGGGAACAAGGTTAACACCTGAGATCAGAATTATGAAGAACAATTAGAGGCATTAAAAGAATCAAATCACAGTATCACTCTGGTTCCACTTAATGGCACAAACATTCAAAACAATATTATCAAAATTATTTAGAAACTATTAAACTACACACGTCAAGATAATATCAGTCTGAGGAATGGTGTTAACTACACCCGTAATAAGGGAGGGAAAATGTTCCTCTAGGTATCTCCTAGAGACCTAGACTCACGGTCTCAGTGTGTGACCATTAGTTTACTCAGATAGCCTCAGTGTACTCCCAGTGCGTCCATAAAGCGGAAGGGAGTGAGCAAATCAGACCTTGTACAGTTGAGAGAAACTTTAGCTTCCCGTTAGCAAGAGGGTTTCACTAGCTGCTCGGGACATGTGGGGTTGTGCACCGGAGTGGTACGAACTGATCACCCACTGCTGGTGCTGGTCCCGTGTCGTTTTAGTTGTCGGGAGCACTCGTTCACTCAAGAGACCCTTTGCTACCCCGCTAAACAGTGACAGGCCTACACTGATCGGTCCAATGGCGACAATCGCCACCCTCAATCATCAACGGCAGTCAATCTCTCGCAGTCAACTCCGGTCAACTCCAGTCAAGTGGGTTCTGACGGAAACCCTGAAATGAACTCACTGTTAGCTCTAGTTTACTTTATCACTGCCCTATCTAACCCTGTCTGAGATCGAATGAGACTTACTTGTTATACTGCAATAGCGCAGCACAGGTGACTAGGCCACGTGACTATTTCTGTGATGGACGCGCGGAACGTCTTGTCTGTGTGAATGCTCTCCGGGACTGGGGCCTAGCCAGCGTCGCGTCTCCTCAAGGCGTTAGCTTAGGTCTACGTGACATATTTTCCGCCTAACTAATAACTCCTTGGGACACCCGTAACATTATTCAGACTGCTAAACGATCTATAATAATTTCAAATTCAATAATAGTCCCTTAACTTCATGAATCGCATCATTATTAATTCGGTAAATCACATTTAATATCATATAGGCCTAGTTCCGCAATCTCTCGCTACGAGCAGGCAGCGCTCCCTCCCCTCAGATGACCTTGAACGCTCAGTATCACTCATGGCGGGGCATTTGAAATTACTCTGAAATTTCTGAATATTACATATATATATATATATATATATATATATATATATATATATATATATATATATATATATATATATATATATATATATATATATATATATATATATATATATATATATATATATATATATATACACACAGTTGTACCCCACTTAACGCGGTCAATAGAACCCAGAGGGTCCCGTGTTAAGTGAAATCCGCGTTAAGTGAACAACAGAACATATGGGATTAATTCCAATAGAAACCGGCCCGACCCCCAAACTCCACTTTTTGAAGGCACATACCTATGTTGTAGTAAAAATAACATCTTAATTTTATGATGGTACATGCACACAATTAATACTTAAGAGAAATAGAGAAATACAGTCGCCAAGTTAATGTCCATTCAAATAATGGACTCAACTCCCTCCCCCTCTCACACTACACTGCCGGCTCTTCCCTCTCTGAGAAATTTTTGGGGGAAAACCACTAAATTTTAATAAATAATACCTCAAACTAAAGTTAGGATAATACAATTGACATTGCTGGATTCCTTGTAAGACCAGGAATATTTTGAATATAAATGTCATATATTTTGCACAAAAGATAACATAGTTACCTAGAGAAAATTTTTTATCTAAAATTTGTATGTTTAATGCAAAATATATGATGTTTATATTCAAAATGATCACCAAATTATAAGAATTCCAGCAATGTAAATTATATTCTGACCGGGTAATTTGTATGAATTTTATGAGCTAAAACAAATATCTTCAGTTAATAAAAAAAAAAATAATCTTCAGGACACTATCTGTCAATCAAAGTACCCCACCTTGCCTCCCCCCCTCTTCCAACCGCGCGGTCAGTCCCAACCCTCCCCCCCACCCCCCACCAATCCTCCCTTCAAGAGTTTTTAACATTTAGTATTAAATAATACCTCAGATTAAAGTTAGGATAATATAATTGACATTGCTGGATTCCTTGTAAGACCAGGAATATTTTGAATATAAATGTCATATATTTTGCACAAAAGATAACATAGTTACCTAGAGAAAATTTTTTATCTAAAATTTGTATGTCTAATGCAAAATATATGATGTTTATATTCAAAATGATCATCAAATTATAAGAATTCCAGCAATGTAAATTATATTCAGACCGGGTAATTTGTATGAATTTTATGAGCTAAAACAAATATCTTCAGTTAATAAAAAAAAAATAATTCTTCACGGGGTAACAGATGGTCGGTCGGTCCCTCCCTCCCCCCCACCCCCCACCAACCGTCCCAAGGAGATGTGTGGGATAACCACTAAATTTTAATAAATAATACCTCAAACTAAAGTTAGGATAATATAATTGACATTGCTGGATTCCTTGTAAGACCAGGAATATTTTGAATATAAATGTCATATATTTTGCACAAAAGATAACATAGTTAATTTGAGAAAATTTTTTATCTAAAATTTGTATGTCTAATGCAAAAATATGATGTTTATATTCAAAATGATCACCAAATTATAAGAATTCCAGCAATGTAAATTATATTCTGGCCGGGTAATTTGTATGAATTTTATGAGCTAAAACAGGCAGTCAGGCAGGGTGGGGCAAATCTAAAAATAGCGTCTCGAGCCGGACACTCACCGCGTATATGTGGAAAAAATTCGTGTTAAGTGAAAGTTCAGCTCTGGCGAGGCACCGCGTATATGATAAAACGCGTTAAGTGAAACCGCGTTAGGCGGGGTAATACTGTATATATATCTTGATAAATTCACACGGGAAAATGGAAACAAAGGAGTACCTTAGCTTTCGTCTTTATTCAAGACATCTTCAGAGGCAACTGGATTACATGGACAGAGAGAGGCTTAAATATACAGGGTGACCTAAAAACATGAGGTCAGGTCATAATGATGACATCCACTAATCCCCACACCAACACACACGTAGAGGAGCTTAAGAGAAGGGTGGAGACGTGACTAGCCAGGTCAGGTCAGAAAAAAGGGACCCACAAAATAACTATCATACATCTAGATCAAAGGTTTTCAAAGCATTTTTAACCTTGGGCCACTGACAAATAAATTTATGTAACATATTATCAGTTTTGAACTGACCATCACTAAGGTTTATTGATTTTAATTCCTTAATCAAACTAGCTTCAACAAGAAGTCTTTCTGTGACACAAGATGATTTGAATACTTCTAAGCTTTTTTCCCAAGCAATGGGGTGATTATTATTCTTAACATGAACAAACAAGGCACTGCTTTCAGATGCCGTTCTGATATTATATATATATATATATATATATATATATATATATATATATATATATATATATATATATATATATATATATATATACATGTTGATTACATCTCAATTTAACGTCAATTGAACCCAGGGTCCCGTGTTAAGTGAAATCCGCGTTAAGTGAACAACAGAACATATGGGATTAATTCCAATAGAAACCAGCCCGACCCCCAAACTCCACTTTTTGACGACACATAACTATGTTGTAGTAAAAATTCTATCTTAACTTTATGATGGTATGAAAAAACAAGTAATATAGAAGAGGTTAGGTTAGGAAAGATAAAGGTTAACATAGGAAAAATGAAGGTTAAGTTAGAGAAACTAAAAGTTAGATGTAACACTTACGGTTGTAGAAGAGATGGGTCGGCATACGGGGATGGAGGCTGGTTCCGAGGCAGAGGGCAGATTACTGGCCCTCAGGTGAATCACCATTACTAGGTGAATCACCATCACTGTCACTTACAGTTGTCAGGGCTTCCCTGACAAATCCCTCAAAGTCAACTTCACTTTCACTATCACTGGCTTGGGCTGGCTGTGGTGGGTTGCGGGCGAAGAACTCGGTTATGCTTTGCTGACGGCTGGCGTTGATGTTGTCATGATACACTGTGATGTACGGCTCCATAGCCTGCACCAGTCGGGTATGGAAGACTTCATAGCGTTCATCGTCATTGTCGCGGGAAAGGACGGACTTAATTTTTTCTGCAAACTCTATGGCACACTTAATATCACTATGACTTAAACTAGGTTCTTCGGAGAATGACGCACCTTCTTCCTCCTCTTCACTGGCGTGTTCTTCTTCCAACATCTCGTCGGCAGTCACTTCAGGATCTTTGATCACCTCCAGGATGTCTTCGTTGGTGGTCTCGGAGAAGCCTTCAGCTGTAATATTGAGTGCAGCTTCTCTGGCAAGGTCCACTGCTACTGCAACAGTCTGAACCTGACCAGTCACAGGTTCACTCCTCCTCTCACCTGGTATGCCATGCAACACATGTCTCCATGCGTGACGAATCGTAGCAATAGTCAGCAGATCCCATGCCTCCACCAAGAAGTCTACAGCTTGTTTAACGTTAAACTGCTTCCAAAATTGTTTGACGAGAAGTTCTTGAGTCACCACCTCTTGTTCCTTGTCCTCGTCGCTTTTGCTCTCGCTGTCGGTGTCACCCAGCTTACGCAACTCATCCTTGGTGTTGGTAGAGTCGTTCAGGAGCTTGAACTTCTTTGCAGAGTACGCAGCTTTCACATTGCAGATCAACTCCTGGTCCATGGGCTGGATTAATGACGTAGTGTTGGGAGGAAGGAAGACCACTTTTACGTTGGGGTGACGATCCATAAGTAGGGGCGAGTGTCCAGGTGCGTTGTCAAGGAGCAACAAAATATTGAATGGAACATTCTGTTGCTCGCAGAATTTCTTCACGTCGGGAACAAAACAGTTGTCAAACCAGAAGAGGGACAGAGAAGAGGACATCCACGCCTTACGTGCGGTTAGCCAGTGGACATTAAGCTTGTTCATGTCCATATTCTTGTAGGCGTGCGGCTTGCGGGCTGTGTGAATCACCGATAACTTTGGTTTACAGGTACCGGAGGCATTGGTGGTAAACAGGACGGTGATGCGTTCCTTCTGCAACTTCCGACCCCTTACCTTGCTGGCAGACTGGACAACGAAGGTCTTGGAAGGTAACTTTTTCCAGAAAAGACCAGATTCGTCCATGTTAAACACCTGGTCGTCACTGTACTGTCCTTCCTCCATAATCTCACGTAAGAACGGAGGAAAATCTCTAGCCGCCACACGGTCAGCACTCGCTTCCTCACCACCAATGTTGATGTTGGTGATCTTGTTCCTCTTCTTAAACCTATGCAGCCAACCAGAGGAAGCATTGAAGGGTTTGGGCTCTGCAATTCCCAGCTTACGTGACACTGCTGCGTATAGCTCACGTGCGTACTCCTGCACTGAGCGCGTGTCCACCGCCATGTTGCGTCGCGCCTGACGAACCAAATAACTCACCAGCAAATTTTCCACTTTTGCCAGCACCCTGTTCTGGCAATACCTGATAGATGAAGCACCTGCAGACTTTGTGATTTTCATGTGCTCTTTGATCTTGGCTGCATCCTTCTTGATCGTGCGAATCTTAGATTCGTTGACGCCATGCTGGCGCGCGAGATCAACTTGCCGTCTTCCTTTCTCCAAATCTTGAACAATTTGGTACTTCACCTCGTAGCTTAATGAATGTCGTATCTTCTTTGGCTTAGTGCCGCTGGGTCCAGGTAAGGAAAGGTCTCTCTCTGGGGGCGGTGGTGGTCCGGCGGAAGCCATTTTACGGAACAATGGATGCGCGTTTACACGGTGTGGCCTTGAGGGATGAAACTGCCGCAGCTAGGTCAAGCATCGTCTCTCTTCCCTCCCTCCCTCCCTCCCTCCCCGGGGTGGTCACGTCATAATACTTTAAGCCAATTACAGCTAGCAGCAGAGGGGGGTAGGGATGCATGGCCAATCACAGTCCGATACGTCATATGACGTCAGTGATAACGCAACAAAGACACACACTGCGCTACCTTACCGCGCGGCTTGCCCAAGCGGAGGGAGGAGGAGGGAGAGGCAGGCAGGCGGGCAGGCGGGTGGCGCGTGGCGCGTGGCGCGTGGGCAAAATCTAGAAATAGCGTCTCGAGCCGGACACTCACCTCGTATATGTGGAAAAAATCCGTGTTAAGTGAAAGTTCAGCTCTGGCAAGGCACCGCGTATATGCGAAAACGCGCTAAGTGAAACCGCGTTAGGCGGGGTAATACTGTATATATATTGTGCGTTTACTATATTGTCCTGTCAGTGTAAGAGAAACAATTAAGACCCTGCAATTATGTGTAAATGAGGAAGAAAGTCAGATGGGCAATCTGGGACTTGGTCACAATTTTCGTCATGCCATATGGCAGCAGGGTCTTATCATTAGACAACACATTATGCTTCCAATATCTTCCCAGCCAGTGGTACCTCCCTGTTTTATAGCTGCCTGCTTTATTGAGTCATTATTTAAGGGAAATGTCTATTGTAGTAAAATCATTGTGACAGGAAATTTATCTGCATTCACAAAGTGTCCTGATATTCAGATCCCACTGCGGGTTATTTTTTTCATTTTATGTTTTGTAATAATTGATTTATATTTGTTTCAGTGCCCTTGTGGAACATTTGTCATCAGAAGAAATTATGTCCAAAGTTGGATATGGCATTGGACTTAAAGATCTTATTCTTTGTCAGGTGAGGTGGAAGAGCCAACACAATATTTCTGTCTGTCTGTCTTTCTTTCTGGGGAAAGTAGGTTCCGTTCCTGAGCACCTGAAGAGCCCAAACAAGTTTAATATCCTGCTGCTTTTATGTTTAAATAATGTCTAAATATCTCAAATATCATATAAATACAGTACAGTAGACCCTTGTCATTCACGAGGGATAGGTTCCAAGAAATGGCTCAAATTGGCAAAACTGCGAATAGCAACTTCTACTACCTTAATGCACTACTGTACAGTTAACCCTCACTTTACGCGGTTAATGTAACCCGCAGGGTCCCGCGGAAAGTGAGGAACGCGTAAAGTGAATAACATAACATATGGGATTAATTGAAATAGAGTCCGGGCCGACCCCCAAACTCCACTTTTTGACGACACACAACTATGTTGTAGTAAAAATTTTATCTTAACTTTATGATGGTATGCACATACAAGAAATATAGAAGAGGTTAGGTAAGGAAAAACAAAGGTTAAGTTAGGAAAAATAAAGGTTAGGTTAGGAAAACTAAAAGTTAGGTGGAACACTTAAGTTAGTAGAAGAGATGAGTCGGCGTACGGGGATGGAGGCTGGTTCCGAGGCAGAGGGCAGGCTACTGGCCCTCAGGTGAATCACCATTACTAGGTGCATCACCATCACTGTCACTTACAGTTGTCAGGGCTTCCCTGACAAATCCCTCAAAGTCATCTTCACTGTCACTATCACTGGCTTGGGCTGGCTGTGGTGGGTTGCGGGCGAAGAAATCTGTCATGCTTTGCTGACGGCTGGTGTTGATGTTGTCGTGATACACCTTGATGTAGGGCTCCATAGTCTGCAACAGCTGGGTAGTGAAGATTTCATACCTGTTTGCGTCAGGGTCGTCGGAAAGGAAGAGCTTGGCTTTCTCGATACATTCGATGGCACCCCTAACATTACTATGGGATAAGCGGTGTTCTTCTTGGGATGACGCACCACCTGCCTCTTCACTGACGTCGTCATCATCATGTACCATCTCCTCGGTAGTCACATCAGGTTCCATTATCACCTCCATGATGTCGTCGTTGGTGGTCTCGGAGAAGCCTGCAACTGTAACACTCTGCGCAGCTTCTCTGGCAAGGTCCACTGCTACTGCAACAGTCTGAACCTCACCAGTCACAGATTGACTCCTCTCACCTGGTATGCCATGCAACACATGTCTCCATGTGTGACGAATTGTAGCAATAGACAGCTGATCCCATGCCTCCACCAAGAAGTCCACAGCTTTCTTGATGTTAAATATTCTCCAGAATTGTTTGAACAGATTTTTTTGCTGTGCCAACTGTTGATCCTCATCTTCTTCGCTCTTGCTATCGGTGGTGGTGTCACTCTGGTTACGCAACTCTTCCCTGGTGTTGGTGTAGTCGTTCAGGAGCTGGAACTTTTTTGTTGAGAAAGCAGCTTTTACATTGCAGATTAACTCTTGGTCCATGGGCTGTTATATAGACGTAGTGTTGGGAGGAAGGAAGACCACTTTTACGTTGGGGTGACGATCCAACAGTAGGGGCGAGTGTCGTGGTGCATTGTCCGGCAGCAACAAAATATTGAATGGCACATTCTGTCGCTCACAGAATTTCTTTACATCGGGAACAAATCAGTCATCAATCCAGGAGAGGGACAGTGTAGAGAACATCCACGCCTTACTTGCGGTCAGCCAGTGGACATTTAGCTTGGTCATGTCCATGGTTTTGTAGGTGTGCGGCTTGCGTGCTGTGTGGATCACCGATAACTTGAGCTTACAGGTACCGGAGGCATTGGTGGTAAACAGGACGGTGATGCGCTCCTTCTGCATCTTCCGGCCCCGAATCTTGCTGGCATTCTTCACAACGAAGGTCTTGGAAGGTAGCTTTTTCCAGAAAAGACCAGATTCGTCCATGTTAAACACCTGGTCGTCACTGTACTGTCCTTCCTCCATAATCTCACGTAAAAACGTAGGAAATTCCCCAGCCGCAGCACGGTCAGCACTCGCTTCTTCACCACCAATGTTTATATTGGTGATCTTGTTCCGGATCTTAAACCTCTGTAACCACCCAGAGGAAGCATTAAAGGGTTTGGGCTCTGTAATTCCCATCTTTCGTGCCACTGCAATGTACAGTTCACGTGCGTACTCCTTAACAGAGCGCGTGTCGACCGCCATGTTCCGTCGCGCCTGACGCACCAAGTACCTCACAAGTAATTTTTCTGTCTTGAGAAGCACCTGGTTGTGAAAATACTTGATCATAGAAGCACCTGTAGACTTTGTGATCTTCATGTGCTCCTTTATCTTGGCTGCATCCTTCTTTATTGTTAGAATCGTAGATTCATTCACACCATGCTGGCGCGCCAAATCAACCTGCCTTGTTCCTTTCTCCAACTCTTGGATGATGGTATACTTCACCTCGTAGCTTAAGGAACGTCGTGTCTTCTTTGGCTTAGTGCCGCTGGGTCCAGGTAAGGAAAGGTTTCTCTCTGGGGGCGGTGGTCCGGCGGAAGCCATTTTACAGAACAATGGATGCACGTTTACACGGTCTGGCCTGGAGGGACGAAACTGCTGCGGCTAGGTCAAGCGTCGTCTTTCCTCCCTCCCTCCCTCCCCCGGGTGGACACGTCATAATACTTTAAGCCAGTTACAGCTAGCAGCAAAGGGGGGTAGGGATGCATGGCCAATCACAGTCCGATACGTCATATGACGTCAGTGATAACGCAACAAAGACACACTGCGCAACCTTACCGCGCGGCTTGCCCAGGCGGAGGGAGAGGCGAGAGCACAGGCTGGCGGGTGGGGCAAATCTAAAAATAGCGTCGCGCAGGACACTCTCCGCGTAATGGGGTTCACGCACCGCGTAATATGAGCACGTTAGGTTCTGGCAGGGCACCGCGTAAACGTGGAAACGCCGAATGTGGGACCGCGTAAAGCGAGGGTTGACTGTATACCTATACCAAACAACTGACCAGTCGTGTCCGCACTCATCCCCTCTTTAACTTATCTAATAATTCAAGTTACTTTGTCAGGGTCATCACTGACATCTGTCTTTTACATTTCACTTCACTAGCACTGACTCTAGGCAGTCTTCAAGGGGCCATTTCACCAGGGTTGTTATGATTTAAATCAAATGATTTAAATCAGGGTAAGAAAATCATGATTTAAATCAAAATGATTTTTTTACTAATAACTGTTTTCTCATCACCTCATCCAAGCACCTCACTTTCAAAAGCTTCATTATTATCATCTCTAGTTAAAGATATATCAGATGCTCCTTCTCCCTCACCATTTAAGATAGATAAGAGGGATAGTTCTATGGAACAAAGAAGCATAACTGTTTTTGTGATAAATACTACTAAGTCTGAAAAAGTCACTTTGGATCAGCAAGTTGCTAATTATATATATGCAACCAATTCCCCCCTCCGAACAGTGGAGCACAAAGAGTTTATCAAGATGATTAAAATGCTAAGACCAGGATATGTTCCACCTAATAGACATCAAATTGGAGGGTCTCTTTTGGATCAAGCCTACGATTCAGTGATTAAGAATTATTCAGAAGAACTTAGTGGGAAAACAGTTTGCATGGCCATGGATGGATGGAGTGATGTCCATAATGAGCCTATAGTATGTATAACTTTAACAGCGGACAACCGTATTTATCTTGTTGACTCTATAGACACAGAATCAAGACACACAGCTGAATATCTGTAGAAATTAGCTGAATGTGCTACAAAAAAGTGTGAAGACAAATTTGGATGCACAGTAAGGAGCTGTGTAACAGATAATGCTGCTAATATGGCAAAAATGAGAAGTGAATTCGGACAAGATAAAGCCATTATAACATATGGTTGCTCTGCACACCTGTTAAATTTGTTTTCACAAGACCTGCAAATCAAGAACATTAAGGAGCACATTACTGAAATCATTAAGTACTTCAGAAATCATCACATCCCAGGATCTTTGTATAGAAGAGCAGGAGGAACAATGCTTGTAATGCCATCAGACACACGATGGAACACAGTGACAGATTCTATTGAATCTTATTTAAAGAACTGGGAGACCCTTGTCAAAGTGTGCAAAGAAAATAGTGAAGACACTGATAAGAAAATTGAAAGGAAAGTTAATGATAAGGCATTAAAAAGAACTGCAGAAGACTTTTCAGAGAGACTTAAGCCTATTGCTGTGGCATTGGACTGTGTCCAGAGAGAACATACCCTATTAAGTGATGCTGTAGAAATCTGGGTAAAACTGGAAACTGATATTTAGGAGTATTTAACAGATAAGAAGGATATGGATAATTTTGAAAAAAGAATCAAAATAGCATTGACACCTGCTCATTTTCTAGCTAATGTGATAGATCCAAGGTATCAGGGCAGACATCTGACTCCTGAGCAGCGAGACATTGCAGAACAGTATGTGTGCGAGTCTCTTCCACATTTCCTTTCAACATTAATGTCCTTCCATGGAAGAAGTGCACCATTTAAAGAGGTCTATTTTGGTAAAGATGTTGTAAAATCTCTCTCACCCCTTGCTTGGTGGCAGTATTTTGCCAATGATATGACAGAAAATGTAATGGATGTTCCGAGGCAATTATTTACAGCTGTTGCATCATCAGCAGGGGTTGAGAGAATTTTTTCCACATGAGGATTTGTACACTCAAAGGTAAGAAATCGCCTAGGACAGGAAAAGTCATCTAAGCTTGTCACAGTACATAAACATTTCAATGTTCAACTAAGCTAATTTAAATGTTTTGAACTATTTTTGTTGTTTACAGAATGAGAATATTGTGATGACTTGAAGTTATTACCGGTAATTCTTAATACGTACGCTATAATCCTACAAATGTAAGAAAATAAACTTGTTACCAGTACAGTATTACTTTTTTTACAAAATGAGAATATTATTCTGTTGACTTGAAGAAGTTAAGTTATTAATTTTTGAAACACTGTAATCCTATAAGAGCATTTATGTTAAATTTCATTATTACGTTTGGATTTGT